CTCTATCATCTATCATAGGAACTTCATGTTTCCTATGAAAAAGATTCTCTTATGACTGCAAAACTGTAATTTTCGAATATTCAATTCAATAAATTGAATCGAGTAGCACTCTATCATAGGAACTTCATGTTTCCTATGAAAAAGATTCTCTTATGACTGCAAAACTGTAAAATTGAGTTTTCGAATAGAGACAGTGAATGTCAATGCCTATGTCCTTGTTTTGCAATGGGGTGCACAAAGGGGAAAAAAGGAACACAAACTTTAAGATTTCTTTTCTGGACAGTGTTACTGAAAAAGTAAAAAAAATAATAATGATGGACTGAATACTGAAAGTTAAAACAGACAGATAGTGTAAATTGTGTGTGAACAGTGCATGCGTAATCCAGAACCAGAAAAGCTTGGCTCTTTGATTTAATCTATCTTTTGCTTCCCTGGAGACAATTCAGCATCAACTTCTAAGAAAACGAAAGGTCTCGAGTCTCTGCAGTCTTCAGTGCTCTCTGCTGCCCGAGGCCAAGTTAAAGTCTTCTCACATCTCTGTCTCTCTGTTCTCTTCAGAAGCTTGTTTCTTTCTATATTTTTGGTATTTGTGTGAAACTCCTCCACCTCCCACATATCGAGCTATACAAATCTCTCTGTGACCTCAACATTTGGCTAGTACTTAAAATCGAGTTGAGATTCAGCTACTCTACCCAGGAGTGTTTGCTTTCCACTGAATTTAGCCCAAAAAGTTAGCCAATCCTCTTAGTCAGGCGCTTTGAAGAGTTCTCTTTTCTCTTCACTAGTTCCTCCAACCTCTTTCCAATTCTCTCTAACATTCTAACTTTAATGGTTGAAGGAAAAATGTTGCCAAAATGAAATTAAACAATATCAGGAATGTCACAATTATTTTAATGTGTTTTAAGTTTCATAAAGACTGAAATAATATTTTACGTAACAGTTTTAACAGCATCTCTGTTTTAAACCTAGTAGCAAAAACTGTTGGATTTGAGAATTTCATTAATTTCTGATTAAAAACACTGATTTGTTTCAAAGAACTGATTCAGCTTAATTTACTTAAACATGGAAGTCAATATGTGCCATCTGACATGCTTTAAAAAGGATAAATATTAATACATTTTAATATAAGTTTAATACACAGTACATTATAAACATTTAATATTATGAATATAACAAATAATAAATATACAACAACAGTAATAATAATAATAATTATTATAATGATGATGATGGATGATGAACATTATGATTATGATTATTATTATGTTGCCAATATAAAATTACGCAACACCATGGATATCAATATCATATTAACAGGCTTTTTTTTTAAGTTTCATTAAGACTAAAAGAATATTTTGCAAAAGACAGAGAATATTTTAATATCTCTGATCTAAACCTAGCAGCAAAAAATAGATTTGAGAAATTTGATTCGTTTTAATGGTCTGATTCAAAACATTGATTCATCTCAAAGCACTGATTCAACTTAATGTACTTAAAATGGAAGTCACTGTGTGGCATTTGACAATATTAATAAAAAATATTAATAAACTATACACATTTAATATTAAAAATAGCTGCTTGGTTTGTCTAATTTAAAAAAAAA